CGATTTCATAGTCCAGCGACTCTGCCGCGCGTGATACGAATTACTTAGGCTGCGCCAGGCTTCGGCCCTTCCCACCTCCTCCACTGTTCAGCACCAAAAGAATGCTCGTACATATACGTGAACCGTCGAGGCGTCGACTGCACGCACTGCTGTCCCTCCTAACCTCAAAATCGCCTTGCTGAAATTCGCAAACGTATGTAGCGGTGTACGCTCGGGTGGGGCGGTGGACCGGGGGACGAGCGTGTATGGATGCCTGGGTGGTAGTGGCGATGGTAGGGATAGCGGAGGGCGGCTGGAGGTGCGGGGGGGGGGGAGTCCAAAAAGAGGAAGCTCCGGGCGACGAGAGTAAGGCGAAAGGTCGCCGGCGTGCAGTGGGGCCCGAGCGGAAAAAGGAGAGCTGCGAGACGAAACCTCGACCAGGATCAAGAACCTCCGCGCGCTTAGATGTCGGAACTCGCACCTTCTTCTTTTTGCCCCCTTTTTGCGGCACTCGTAATTTACGGCTCTACGCAAGGCGTAAAATGGCGAGCGAGCGTGGGCTGCTCGAGAAACGAGAAGGAATCGTTTTAGAACCACGGCGAGTCGTCGCTTCCTTGGGAGTTTCATATTCCTCCTCGTCGAGAGACGAGACAACAATGGCCACGACTCGGATTGCGCACCCTTACCGATTAAATTTGGAAATTGGGCCTCCAGTCCCACCCCACCCCCATAACCACCCGTCGACCCTCCTCCTTCCCTCACTAGCAAACGGCTCCTTCGCTTAATCGCATTCTTCGGCTAATTACAACGCGTGTGTGTATAAATTACGGGGGAGCGTAACACGGCGACGACAGTTTTTCCTCAAACGACAGCAAAACTCCCACGAAACAAAATAGAGAATGCGCGTAACGACATAGTTATATATATACACATATATATATATATATATATATATATATATATATATATATATATATAAGTATGTATATATATAACCATGTCGTTACGAGCAACAACGTCGGGCAGTCTGCTCGAGTTCTCGTGGGTCATGAGGAAGGAGTTCAGCCGCACAAGAAATGCCGTCGTCGCCGCCGCCTATCGTCATTATCTCGTTCGCTCTATCTATATAAGTATGTCTCTCTCTCTCTCTCTCTCTCTCTCTCTCTCTCTATCACTCTCCCTCTATGTGTGTATGTCGAGAACCCCGACTCTCTTTTTATAAAGCGCATAAAGCGCCGAGAGCTTCGCGAGTAAGGTCGGGGTAATGTAGAGTGGAGAGAAAAAAGTAATAGGAGAAACGAGAATAGCTTTTTATATTGCAATAATAATCCGACCCCGTGATAAGGTTAACATATCTATCTCATATTTGAGAGGTCGTAATCTCCTTTTCTCTTGGCCCGCGCCATAATTCACTCTCTTGCCTATCGCTAATTAAGCTTTCAAATGTATGCGAGTACTCCGATGCAGCTCGAATTCGCACGTGTGCGAGCATCATTCGAGGATAGAAAGTATTTCTTTTAAGATTATTTATTGACCTAACCTTAGCAATCGATACATTCCGTTTTCTAATTTTATTTATACGATTCAGCGTCGTAATTGTAAACGGCGATGCTCTCATTTCGCCGATAAAAAGAACTAGTTAATTGAAAGAAAAAGGCAGAGTCTTTTTAAGGCGCATAGCCAGATCAATATTTAAAATGTGTAGTAGTAACGTAATATCGTTAGGATAGGATAATAATAATAATAATAATAACAACAACAACAATAATAACAACAACAATAATAACAATAATAACGTAATAGCGATAGGAAATTAAGTATGATCCATGGATTAATCCACTTAATGGTTTCTCAAACATTCTTTAGCCTTTGTCTCCGCGCGCAACCCCACTCCCCGCCTCTCAATTCATCCCGCCGGTTCTCCGCCCCTGTCACGCAAACGTGAAGTCCTATAAGATGAAGAGAAGAAATTGTAATCATGGCGTATTATAATACGCTTCTTTCGCTTCCTTGTAAATTGTCAGCTGTAGTAAACGCCACTCGTTTCAATAAGAAATACGCAAACGAGTTAACCCACATTCTCACGTGTTTCCCCGAATGATCAAAAAATAATTTCATAAAAGAACAGTGTATGTGTGGGTATATCAGTGTCTAATAATTCCGGGCCTGTTCCTCCATAAAATTAGTAACGCAAAACAAGGTTTCTCATATGCTCGGGGAAAAAAGCGCCGCTTAATTCAGCAAAGTGAAATAAAACCATAAAGGATAAAGAATAAGACGAATAAGCAGAACAAGGATAATAATAAGACGAATAGGAAACGTAAGAAGAAGAAGAAGAGGAGGAGGAGGAGGAGGAGGATGAGGAAGAGGAAGAAGAAAAAGAAGAGGAAGAGGAAGAGGAATACGAGGGAAAAGATGGAGATGGAGATGGATATGAAGGAGATGAGTGGTAAGGTAATGGAGCTAGAGGAAAAGATGGAGATGGAGATGGGGGTGGAAGTGGAGGTGGATGATAAAAAAAACATGCTCGCCTCTTTCAATACTCCGTAATACTCGGGTGCGTTCTCCCTTGTAAATTATACTCGTCGAGTGCTGCTATCCTTCATTGCTCTGTAGCCGAGGCCCGTTACCGACGAAACTCCTCGATGCGCGCGCGAGCCCCATAACCACCGGGAAAAATGTAGATTTAGGTAGATGGCCGGAGCGGCAACAATGGCTCTTCCGCCGAGACTCTTCCGTGAAAGCCGCCGACTGACGTTTTCACCGAGAACTGCGAATTTTAAACGTCGCCACTCTCCGCTGCCAGCAAATGGCGCCTGATATACCCACAACAAGCGACGAAACAACTTTTGCCTTCTGACACGTTTCGCCATTATTGGGCCAATGAGCGTCTTCTCTTTGTGCACGACAGCTCGTAAATTCGAAAATTATTATTCGTAGCTCTTATTCCTCTAGGATAGCCGAGGGAAAGTGAAAAACATGACGCAAGAGAAGGATATCTTTATAATCGCGATCAATAAAAGCGTCAATTCCTGTTTAATAATGCGATTAGAGTGCTGTGTAAGTAAGTAAGTAAGTAGCCTCGTTAGATTAATCCTGCCTATTATAAAACCAATGACTTTATACAGTTAAATATAAAGCAAAAGTTCAGCCTCTCAATCGCATTTGCAGCATTAATGTATCGCATCTGGATGTGAAATATTATCGGCGAAACTCGAGACTAAAATTACATTGCACTCGAATTAATTGGAAGGCAGTTTCTTTGAAATATTCAAAAAGTTTGGTCATTTTTGCTCGTGTGACAGGCCTTATATTTTGACACTGAAGAGTGTACTCGGCATGTCTGTCTTATGAAGCTCTCGGCAATTTCAATCTAATTACAAGGACAAGCAGAACGTCAGCTCCCTTAAGATGCGTTTTTTGCCTAACCCTTGCCCTCCTCGTCGCTGCGCGCGCTCTCTCTCTCTCTCTCTCTCTCTCTCTCTCTCTCTCTCTCTCCCTCACTCCGCCTCATGCCTCATGCGCGCGCGCGCGCCCGCTCTGGCTCATACATCCATAACGGAGCTCGTAACCGAGAACCAGCCTAGCCGGGTTCCTGGCGCGAGGCGGGGAGTGCGGGCACACCGAGAGCGAGAGAGAGTCGCTCGTCGCCGGGGGAAAATCGTCCGGGGGCGCGCGAGGGGAAGGAGGATTTCGCGCTGCTCCCGCGCCGAGCCGACGACGCCTCTGTATACGTGTGCGTGTGCGCGCGCGCGTCGCTCGGTGGAGGGGATCCCGAGCTCTCGGCTGCGGCTCCTCGCGCCAGTAGAGTAGCGACCTTCGAGGAGGCGAGTTGGTTCTTGAGCGCTGCTGCGCCCGAACTCTCGCTCCGTCTCGCTCGCTCTCCCCAATTCGAGAGCCCCTCTGCCATCCGCGTCTTTTTAACTCGTCGCGCGCGCGCTCGCGTACGTGCCTGCCAACGTACACACACACACACACATCTTGCACGCGCTCGCCGTCTCTTCACACACGTACACGTACGTACGTTTGTTCGATCGTAGTTCGTTCGTTCGTTCGTTCGTTCGTTCGTTCGTTCGTTCGTTCGTTCGTTCGTTCGTTCGTTCGTTCGTTCGTTCGTTCGTTCGTTCGTTCATTCGTTCGTTCGCTCGTTCGTTCGTTCGTACGTCAATCAAGAGAAAGAAAGAAAAGGATATATATATATATATATATATATATATATATACGCTGTGCGTACGCGTATTAAAGTGCCACGACGCGCCTCTACGAGGAGTGCTCACTCTCTCTTGAACTCGTTTATTCAGTCATTCGTTCTCTATATCTTTACCCCCTCCCCCCGGCCCCTATATCTCTTTACATATCCTATTACCCTCTTAAGTTTTTAACTCGTTGTTGCTGTTATTTGTTTGTTTGTTTGTTTGTTTGTTTGTTTGTTGCGTATGCGCAAACGGCTGGATGGAACTTTGTTCCTCCAGTCCCTGTGAGCTCCCCTCAATCGGTTATCGGTTAGTGATACACTACAGTGCTAATTTATAATTGGTGGTGCGGATAGATCGATCAGTGCTAGAAGAAGATTCGCAAACTGAGGAGGGGCGGGACGACGAGAGTGCGACATTCGAGTTGGCCGTATCGGCCGCCTGCTATGAGAAAAGTGCGCGAGGCCAAGTCGCGACAGCGTTTCTGAGCCCCTGATCCGCCCCCACGATACAGTGTCCCTCGTTGAGGATTGTGCAGGGAAGTGGTGCGTCGCGGTCCCGGAGAACCGCGCCCAAGGCCGCCGACGCCGAACCACCACCACCACCACCACCACCGCCACCACCGCCACCACCACCACCACCACCACCACCACTACTACCACCACCGTCACCGTCATCTCTGCCACCGCTCCACCCCCGGAGTAGCCCCGCGGGTCCGCGAGCGATGCGCCCTCGCGCCGCAGCGGCGCTCTCACCGGCCGTCGGCCCCAGCACAGCCCCGACAGCAGAGCTAACCCGGAAGCAAGAGCCAACAGAAACGGCCGCAAAATGCCGCCGGTCCTAGGAGGCGCGGCGATGGCGGTACTTCCGGCGAGTCCGCAGCAGGCCGGGGCCCAGGGCGGCGCGGCCGGTGTCGCTGCTCAAACCCAACTGCTGCTCCAGGCCGCGGCTAGCCAACAGCAACAGCAGCAGCAGCAGCAACAACAACAACAGCAACAGTCACAGCACCACCACCATCACCACAGTCACCATCACCAACAGCAGCAGCAGCAACAGCAGCAACAACAGCACCAGCAGCACCAGCAGCAGCAACAACAGCAACAACCGCCTCAACATCATCAACATCCCCAGCAGCATCAGCCGCCGCTACTTTACCAACCCTACAATCTCGTGCAGACGAGTAATGGGGTGAGCCTCGGGGCCCATCATCCGGGGCCCCATCATCACCATGGTTTTCACCACGTGCACCAGCAGCATCCCGCCCACCGATACGTGGCACTTGGACAGCCCGGACAAGCTTACGCTAGGGAGCCCAGCGGTGCCTCGCCCATACCCCTGTGAGTTTGGCAATACTTGGCGTATGTCCGTCGTCGGTGACGCGAAACGATCTCGACCGCGACCCCGACCACTATCCCGACGACCACTACCCATACCACTTACCACCACCACCACCACCACCACCCACACCACCACCCCC